TTGAGAAAAGGTATTTGAAATTAATTAAGTCGTTGCTCTTGCAAAATCTATCATGTAATATCCAGCATCATTTCTATCACCATGACCATATTTTTCAAAGACTCATTCTTCCATGTTGTTTCTAATTTTTTCATTCCAATCACCAGTAATTATCAATGCATCTTGATTGCATGTTTGATCAATTTCATACTGAAGAAGTTGTTAAACAATTCTTCAAACTCATCACCACTGGCTTTAGTGGTTGATACTTACATTTGAATAATATTGGTATGAATTGATAAAGCAGAAGGTTAGCAAAAAAGATAAAGACTGTCAATGATATGAATTGGTACAGTGACTTCAACAATGAGTTCAAACATAACAATGACTGCAAACGTGGTGGCACTAGAATGAACAGTGTTTCATTCTGCCACACTCAGGGCTCAGTGAATCTCAACCTTCTGGATTACTCGCATTTCCTGGAAGCTCTGGCAATAAGGTTTTATCAGTTAAAACTAACTGAAATGTATCTTTATCACTAAAAATAAAACACATCAGTATGGGATAAATAAACATTTTATGTTAAGCATTATTATGATTAGGCAGCATGTGGGAATCTATATCACAGGATTTTCAGATTTTCTGAGTAGAATTCTTTATTACTAAAAGAATACAGAATATATATAAAAAAACTTAATTCCATAATTAAAAGATTTTCAGCTCTATTCATTGTATTTAAGGTAAATTTTGTTTTTGGAATATAGCCACACCTGAATAAAAAGACAATTAAGTCTTCATTCATTATTCCTAAAATTAAGTGATTCATTCAGATATTTTCTTAACAGCAGATAATTTGGAGGCAAAGACAAAAATAATGTAAAAAACAATAAGTAAACTTATATGGTGGAATATGTAGTCTATCTTTTTTGTTATGCAAAACAATCTAAAATGAGACTTTTTTTTTTTTGCTTTTCAATGTGTTCACAATGTCAGTACCTTGTCTTTAACAAAATAAGTGTTTGTATGTGAATTTTAAATTTATTTTCATCAGAAAGATTTTGTGATTATCTGTTCTAACAAAGGTATGTATGTATGAGTTTGTGTGTCTATATGCTCTTATAATACATATTATAAATGCCTTTTTTCTATTTACTTTATGGAAATCATAACATTACATAATCATAATGTAGTTGTTAAATAAAATTAAAAACGATTTGTCTCCCTTTATATTGAAACTAATCTATATTTGACCCTGTATCACTTTTTTAATCAGTTATAAGAAATACTATTGTTATTTATGTTGTCTATGGAGTCCTGGTGTGGCACTATAGAATAAGAACTGGACTGTTGACCACTAGATTGATGGCTCAAATCCACTAGTTGCTCCTTGGATGCCCTCTACAGGGTCACTATGAGTCATAACTGACTCGACAGTACTTAAAAAACAACATGTAACAGAGAAGGCAGACATATATTACATTTAGTTTTCTGACCCCCTACTCAATGTTACCCATTACTTTTGCTTTCTGATTTCTGTTATATATGACAATGATTACCCATAATCCATTTAATATTGGATTCTTAATTTAATCTAAGTCTTCTTGTCCTATGTTTCCCACTTGGATAATTACCCATACTGGAAGCTTTCTTTTCTTTTTTTCAGTAGATTATTTTTATAATAATTATCAAGAAATGGAAAATAGAAATGGTAATATGAAGAAAGGAAGATGGACCAAATACAAAATATGATGTTATGAAAGAATGCTTTTGCATTAAGAATGTATTTTTTTAAAGGATTTTTTTGTTTGTTTAATACATCTGAAAAGAATGTGTATACAAAGAATTGAGACATGAGAAAGCATTGGTTCAAAACTCATTAATCTATATGAATTAGGATTTGGGGGAGGTGGAAAAAATTACCTAAACATTTTAAGAAATTGGAAACTGCAACCAAAATAAGCTGATAAAATCCCTATTAACACTTA